CATCATTGTTCATGTTCCTTTGAGAGACTCTCCTCTGCCTCTTTGTCCCTAATCGAATTCAAACAAGAAAGAGGTGTGAAATTGGCTGTTGGGAAAATTAATGTCAAAAAGTACATGATGGATAATTAATACTTTGCTATCACTTCCTGAAATGTCTGAAATGGTAGAAAAATCTAATATTACGAATGATGTATGCTTATAAATTTCACGTTAATTCAACAATCGTTCCATCATGATTGGCAACATACTTTATCTTTTGCCGAAGCAACTCATTTTATCGCTCAATTATAATTTAAAAAGAAAGATCTTTGTTCAGATCTAAAATGATTGCTTGTAAACTGTAATAATTCTGACAAGTCTATATTGCCATGATTGCAATTTGAGGAAGTTAATTATACATGCTGAAGGTATTAGAAAATAATGGTATAAGGTAGGAACCGTGCCACAAACATGCCATGTTCAAAGATTTGGTTTGTGCGAGCGAATCATCTATGCTGTGTATTGTGAACTCAAACAAGAAAGAGTCCGTAGTTTGCTCATATCTGGAAGTCGGCAGGACAGGAGAGTTGTTACCTTCAAACTGAACCTGCAAATCTTTAGATTACATTGGATTTAGACGACTTCTATACCAAACATGTACTTTTAAAAATAATTTTCCTCTTGATTTTTAACCATCATATTTGAATTGGCGCACACAGAGAAGTTCCACACTGAGCCTCTCTGTGTGTGCTCTTTCACCTATGGCAGTAAGTTATAAGCAAATAGTGGCCTCTTTTCCTTTGCTGAATAAGGAAAAGTTGATATTAGGTATGAAGTTATAGTTTAAGGATTATTCCCTGTGTTATCATTTATATTCGTTGCACCACAAGTAAAAGCAACAAGCAAATTATTAGTCTACTAAGCTTATCATAATGCTTGCTTAGTTCTGCCCAATGAGCGCCCAATAAAGAAGGTAACAACTTTTGTTTCTTAATTTTTTATGTGTGATACCTAGCTCTTAAGTAGTTTGGAAGCTTGAGCAGAGACAATGTGGGCATTGTTATCATGCTTTTGCTTTGGTGGCTGCGGTAAAGGTGCACAGCTCATGTAGGAGCTAATTTTATTGTAGGACCACAGAACTAAAAGTTGTTCCTGATAGATGTATGAAATATTGCTGAGATGCAATCCATTATTATAGTTCAAGCAGCTCAACTGGCTCTACATTGTGGCCAATTGTCATAATAAGATTATTTATTATAGTAAGGTAATAACTCTATATTTGTGCGCTACTCGTCTTTTTGTGGCCCATGCCTGCCAGATTAGCAAGTTTATTAATGGTACCTGTTTAAATATTAGTAAGTCAAGTGGATTTTTACCCTTCTTTGTGTAAAGATACTTTAGTTCAATTCCGAGGGGATGTTTCCAGGTTTTGTTTAGAAGCAGTGTAGTCCTGATCTTCCAATATTGTCTCAACTCGGCATATAAATCCTCCTTTCACAATACCTGGAGCAATTATCACGCTACACAATATTCATTGAACTGTCACCCAGTTGAGCTCTCTATCCTAAACCAGCTTCTGATTCAGATGGAGTCTGGATCTTGGTCATGGACCAATAACCAAACCATGCATAAATTTGAGTTTAGTTGGTATCATGATCCTCCTGGAACCAATCAAAATATATTTGCAGTCGCAATAAGATATTTATGCATGAAGATGTTTGGATCAAAGATTGTATGAGTGAAATTAGTAGTTCTTAGCACTAGTCGTCTATGTATGGTCGCATCTCAAGTGTATGGGGACAGTGTGGAATTTCTGAAGAACAAATATATATGCAGAAATAATTGGATTAAGAATTCAACTAGGTACATTATGTATCCCTGGTTATGTATTAAATTGATGTTTAAGAACCAAAATGGTACGGATGTGAATGATTTTCTTTCTGGTGCTGCTGTTTTAATAAATAGAAATCTGCTTTCTGGTTCATTAGTTCAACACAGCTGCATAATCCTGTTTGTAGCTGTAGAAATATTTTCCATAAACTCTAGCTAGTTAAGGGGATTCTTTTCTTTGCCCTGAATCTACCATCTTTTCTGTAACAACATATCGATGGTCAGACCCTTCCATTCTGTTATAACAGATAAATAAATTATGATGCGACCTTAAGAGTTGTGAATCATGATCTTATTAGCAATATGATATGTTTGAATTTGATAGAGGAAGAAGAAGAGGAGGATGAGAGGGAATTTAAGGATTTCATTTTCACTGTTCCCTTGTATTCAAGATATTCCCGACTATCAGTTCAAAAAAAAGATATTCCCGACTACATAATAGTCTTACAACGGATGGAAAAGCAACAAACAATGCTAAGAGTAAGGAAAACACAACTAGCCACTAAGTAAAACACAACTACCCACTAAGTATCAGCACTTCATGGGCTTAGTAAACTGAACAAACAAACTAACTAAACTAGACAAAGTCCACCCACTTATCCACGTTTGCACTTTCCACGGTGCATGGCTTTGTGAATGGTGGTGGCACGTATCATTCTCCCCCCTTAAGGATCCTTGTCCGCAAGGATAGTGAACGGAAATTGCTTCTTGACTCTTTGGTTCTTGTTGAACATTGTTATCATCATCATGGCTTGAATACGGTGAATTTTCGATCATGAATAGTTGTGGATGTTTACAGTGATGACCCGGAATGAACTTCTCATCACAATAGTAACATAAACCCTTCTCTCGACGGTCTCGCGCCTCTTGGTTGGTGAGTTGACAGAATGCTATTGGAGTAGTATTTGAACTTACATTCACACTATGAGCGGGTGGAGGACCTAATACACCAGCTGTTGGGTTGGGCGTGGTCGCCTTTGGTGCCACAGAAGCTGGTTGGGAGCAAAATGGTTGGCTCGGTTGCTTGTGTAACCAATTTCGTTCCTTGATTAGTCGAGCGACTCCTATTGCATCTGCCAAGGTCTTGGGTTGCTTAATTTTTACGTCTAGACGAATGTCATCATGAAGTCCTGCAATAAAACAACCAATGAGAAAATTTTCGGGTAGGCCGTCAACGCGATGAGAAAGCTTTTCAAAAGCTTCTTGATAAGCTGTAACAGTTGAGTCTTGTTTAAGCTGAGTTAGGGCTTCCGACGGGTCTTCGTAGTCTGTTGGACCAAAACGGAGAAGGACAGCTTTGGTGAATTCATCCCATGTAAGTGGTCCGTGAAATTTCGTCAACCACCGGTGTCATTGTAGGGCGATGTCGTCAAGATGGAAGGACGCTAGCGGAACTCATTGGCCAGAGGCAATATTTTTAAAATCAAAATATTGTTCTGCTTTGTAGATCCAGCCAGTTGGGTCCTCGCCATTGAACCTTGGAAAGGGTAATTTGAGGTGTTGGTGACGGTGGACATTATTGGTGGTAGAAAGAGCAGCTTGTGGCGAATGTGAGGATTCTCCTGGAGCAAATGGGTTAGTTTCAAGATTATTAGTATGTGGGCTCCGGATGGTTTGTAGAGCTTGAAGTTCTGTTAACACCATTTGGAGTGTAGCATTAATTTGATCAAAGCTGGACTCATGTCGTGTTAAGATTTCATTGACTTTCTTCTACTCGTGATCACAGGTTCGTTGTGAGTTCGTGCAAGGCTTCCGCAAAGGCGCGCGACAGTATTGACATTTAAGCCCTTAGATGGAAGGTCATCAAAACACTTTTTTTTAATAAGAACACGACGAGATTTTCTCGTACTCTAAAGGAGTATGTTTTCAATGATATTTTTCAATAAAGGAGACAAAAATTATTTATAACTTCCTAGTTTAAAAATATCCTGACGGGTCGAGTGACTAAAAGTTCATCTTTATTAACCAAACATTTCCCCCCCTTTAATAATATCAGAAGATGGGTCCCACTTCAGGTGGGGCAGCTATTTCAGTGGTCGGGAGTTCGATATTTTTCCAAAGTGCAAATAAAGGAGGAGTCGTCGGTTGCTTGTCAAAGTCCACGACTCCACAGGGTAAATAAGGCCGCAAGCGGAAATCAGAACCGGGCAGCGGATCCGGTCCCCTCCCCGTAAGATTACCGCGCTTTCGACTCATGTCGTGTTAAGATTTCATTGACCTCATTGCGGAATTCGGCATTCGTTTTGCCGTGAGTGTCCGTGGTCGAAACTTGGCTCTGATACCACTGATATGTTTGAATTTGATAGAGGAAGAAGAAGAGGAGGATGAGAGGGAATATAAGGATTTCCTTTTCACTGTTCCCTTGTATTCAAGATATTCCCGACTATATAATAGTCTTACAACGGCTGGAAAAGCAACAAACAATGCTAAGAGTAAGGAAAACACAACTAGCCACTAAGTAAAACACAACTACCCACTAAGTATCAGCACTTCATGGGCTTAGTAAACTGAACAAACAAACTAACTAAACTAGACAAAGTCCACCCACTTATCCACGTTTGCACTTTCCACGGTGCATGGCTTTGTGAATGGTGGTGGCACGTATCATTCTCCCCCCTTAAGGATCCTTGTCCGCAAGGATAGTGAACGGAAATTGCTTCTTGACTCTTTGGTTCTTGTTGAACATTGTTATCATCATCGTGGCTTGAATACGGTGAATTT